AAAATTAAATCTAGTATAACAATTAAATTATATGAATTAAAAAATGAAAGAATCATTTGGACAAATAAGCAGAGCACTACTATTATTATTTTAAATTTGTTGCCTACAAAAGAGTAAAGTTAACTTTGACCTATGATACTTAATTTGTTACCTGCAAAAGAGTAAAGTTAACTTTGACCTATGATACTTAATTTGTTGCCTACAAAAGAGTAAAGTTAACTTTGACCTATGATACTTAATTTGTTGCCTACAAAAGAGTAAACTTAACTTTGACCTATGTTACTTAATTTGTTGTCTACAAAAGAGTAAAGTTAACTTTGACCTATGATATTTAATTTGTTGCCTACAAAAGAGTAAAGTTAACTTTGACCTATGACCTTTAGACTAGCAGTAGACTAAAGAATTATATTTGAATATTAATCTAAGCAAATTTTAAAAATCTCTCTATTGCATTAAATTTCATTTTCATTTCTGTGTAAATTATTTAGCAGTCAGTTGCGCTCGTTGTTTTTTTTTGTTAATTGCTCCACTGTAGCGCTTTCACTTCTTCAATTAAAGCTAATTTAGAGTATTTTTTTTTTCTTTGTTAAAATAAAGTATTAAAAGTATTAAAGTTAAAGTCATTATCATTTCATAAAGTAATAAAGTCACTATCATTATCATTTCATAAAGTATTAAAATCATTATCATTTCATAAAGTATTAAAGTCATTATCATTATCATTTTCATATTATCATTATCATTTCATAAAGTATTAAAGTCATTATCATTATCATTTTCATATTATCATTATCATTTCATAAAGTATTAAAGTCATTATCATTATCATTTTCATATTATCATTATCATTTCATAAAGTATTAAAGTCATTATCATTATCATTTCATTTTCATATTATCATTATCATTTTATAAAGTATTAAAATCATTATCATTTCATAAAGTATTAAAGTCATTATCATTATCATTTCATAAAGTAATAAAGTCACTATCATTATCATTTCATAAAGTATTAAAATCATTATCATTTCATAAAGTATTAAAGTCATTATCATTATCATTTTCATATTATCATTATCATTTCATAAAGTATTAAAGTCATTATCATTATCATTTTCATATTATCATTATCATTTCATAAAGTATTAAAGTCATTATCATTATCATTTCATTTTCATATTATCATTATCATTTTATAAAGTATTAAAATCATTATCATTTCATTTTCATATTACTATTATCATTTCATAAAATATTAAAGTCATTATCATTATCATTTCATAAAGTATTAAAATCATTATCATTATCATTTCATTTTCATATTATCATTATCATTTTATAAAGTATTAAAATCATTATCATTTCATTTTCATATTACTATTATCATTTCATAAAATATTAAAGTCATTATCATTATCATTTCATAAAGTATTAAAGTCATTATCATTATCATTTTCATATTATCATCGTCATTTCATAAAGTATTAAAGTCATTATCATTATCATTATCATTTTCATATTATCATCATCATTTCATAAAGTATTAAAATCATTATCATTATCATTATCATTTTCATATTATCATCATCATTTCATAAAGTATTAAAGTCATTATCATTATCATTTCATAAAGTATTAAAGTCATTATCATTATCATTTTCATATTATCATTATCATTTCTTAAAGTATTTAAAGTCATTATCATTATCATTTTCATATTATCATTATCATTTCTTAAAGTATTTAAAGTCATTATCATTATCATTTTCATATTATCATTATCATTTCATAAAGTATTTAAAGTCATTATCATTATCATTTTCATATTATCATTATCATTTCATAAAGTATTTAAAGTCATTATCATTATCATTTTCATATTATCATTATCATTTCTTAAAGTATTTAAAGTCATTATCATTATCATTTTCATATTATCATTATCATTTCATAAAGTATTTAAAGTCATTATCATTATCATTTTCATATTATCATTATCATTTCATGTAGGGCAAAATTTATTTCTTAATTATTTGAATAGCTAAACTCTAATTTTTAGATTAAATTATTTAGATAATTAATAGCTAACATCGAATTATTTTCCTCTCATTGAAAATTTTTAATATGAGAAATTGCAAGATAATCTGATAATGATAAAGAAATAATTATTTATAGTATTGGCAGAATACAAATTGAAATTTAGTGATAATTTTATTTTGGAATATTTCTGAATTTATGTGTTAATGAAAATTATTATAATATTATTATTATTTTTTATTATATTATTATTATTTATTATTATATTATTATTATTTATTATTACAATATTATTATTTATTCTTATATTATTATTATATTATTATTATTATTATATTATTATTATTATTATTATTATTATTATTATTATTTACAATTTATTTGTTATTAAAAAGAAATAAATAAATTCAAAATAATTAACTTTAATTATGGCACTAAATAAAATCAAATTATCACTAAATTTGAATTAAATTTGAAATTGAATTATCATCACTAAATATCAGCTGTTAAGAGTACGATATAGAATATTTTTGTTCAGTAATATGTTAAATTATACAAAAATTTTAAATCATTAATTTATAATTTGAAATTATTTAATTTTAATTTTTTTTTTCTTAATATGAGAAATTTTATTTTCTTATATTTCTGAATTTATGTGTTTTAAAAATTATTATTATTTATTATTAATATTTACAGTTTATTTGTTATTAAAAAAATATAATTAATTTACAATTTTTGAAATATTCTATTTTGGTGCAAATAAAAATATTAAATTTTTAAAATTAAAACATTTTAAAATGCAACATTTTATCATTTCTTAATCACTCAATCGTACTTTTAGAAAAAATATGGCAAATTTTTTTTTTTTCCGTATTACTTATAAATTTAATGAATTAATTGTAAATTTTTACAAATATACAAAGTATCCATTTTTCATTTTATGCATTTTTGAATTATTCTTTTTTTTTTTTTGTTTTAAATTTTCTTTTTACTTTTAAATTACTTTTTTTTTTAAAAATTTTCAATTTTTTTTTTAAAAATTTTTTAAAAAATTTTATTGTTTATGGTTATTTCTTCAAATAATGAAAGATTTTTTGAATTCCTTTTTTTTTTCTTTTAATTTTTCAATGTATGAATAAAAAAATTTAACATATTTTTTAAATTTTTTAACTTATGAAAGTTTTTTTTTTCAAAGTGATATAATCATCACAAAGAAAAGTTTTTTTTTTTTGTTTTAAATTTTCTTTTTACTTTTGGATTACTTCTTTTTTTAAATTTTTTTTTTCAATTTTTTTAAAAAAATTTTAATATTTATGGTTATTTCTTCAAATAATGAAAGTTTTTTTTTTTTTTTTTCAAAGTGATATAATCATCACAAAGAAATGTTTTTTTTTTTTGTTTTAAATTTTCTTTTCACTTTTGGATTATTTTTTTTTTTCAAAGTGACATAATCGTCACAAATAGAAGTGAACCATTTGATCCATTAATTATTGTCTTTTTTTCTTTGCTTAGCATAGCAAAATGATTCACTTATTGCAGTATTTTTTTGACATATTAAATGATGACAGGTATATCACGATGATATGACCCCATTTATGGGCTATTCAAATTGTTGTTGTTGTTACTGACCCTTACCATCTAGCGGCATATTGACCAGTTCTGTGATGGGAAAACTTGTTGGGTCATTTTAGTTATAGTCATTTACTGTTTACTGAACTGGTCATTTCTTAAATTAATTCTTTCCTTTTTTTTTTTTCTAAAAATTTTTTTTTAGAAATAATTTTTTGCAAAAAAAAAAAAAACAAACAAAAATTTGATTGGCTCATTATGAAAATTTTTTTGTCTAATCAAATTAACTCATCCTATTTAATTTCAATATTGTTTATTTTGATTGTTTATTACTTGCTTCTTTTTTTTTCTAATTAAATTAAATACACTTGTTTTTTTTTTCTAGTTAAGTGTAATTAAATTCAAACTCATTACTTATTTAATTCAAAACTTAACTTATCCTATCTAATTTCATTATTATTTGTTTTTTTCTTGTCTAATTAAATTCAAACTTATTTAATTCATACTTAACTTATCCTATCTTACTTTAACATTGTTTATTTTGATTGTTTATTACTTGTTTTTTTTTCTAATTAAATTAAATATTTGTTTTTTTCTAGTTAAGTCTAATTAAATTCAAACTCATTTAATTCATACTTAACTTATCCTATCTTACTTTAACATTGTTTATTTTGATTGTTTATTACTTGTTTTTATCTAATTAAATTAAATACTTGTTTTTTCTAATTAAGTCTAATTGAATTCAAACTTATTTAATTCATACTTAACTTATCCTATCTTACTTTAACATTGTTTATTTTGATTGTTTATTACTTGCTTCTTTTTTTTCTAATTAAATTAAATATTTGTTTTTTTCTTGTCTAATTAAATTCAAATTCATTTAATTCATACTTAACTTATCCTATCTTACTTTAACATTGTTTATTTTGATTGTTTATTACTTGTTTTTTTTCTAATTAAATTAAATATTTGTTTTTTTCTAGTTAAGTCTAATTGAATTCAAACTCATTTAATTCATACTTAACTTATCCTATCTTACTTTAACATTGTTTATTTCCTTTTTTTTTAAATTGAATACAAAAGCTAACATTAATTTAAATCAAATTTTAAATTTAGCATATTTATCGAGGAAATGCAAATTTTTCTTTTTTTTTTTGAAGTCTGATCGTTTTTATAGGATTGTATTGGTACTTTTTTTTTTTTGACAACTTCAAAATGTTTAGTTTTACTAAGTTCATACTAACTTCCGTTTTTTTTATGACTTAATATTCATTTCAAAAGTATATATTTTTTTTTTTTTTAATTGATAATTTAATTTCAGTTTTAATTTTTTTACAGGTTGCTGTTTTCATTTTTTTTTTCAAACATTTCAAGTGGTTAAATTTTTGTACTAAAATGAAGCTACCACGACCTCAATGTGCTATTTGTTTTGCAACTGCTAATTACAGCGAACTTTCGGCGCTTTGTTGTGGTCATACATTTCATTTCTTTTGTATTTTGGAATGGATGAAAGTAAGTTCAAAGTTTTTTTTTTTTTTTTTTTTTTTTTTGAAATTTATATTTAATTATATTTTTTCTAATTTCAATTAATCAAAATTTTATTCTCTACCTTTTATTATACTTTTACTTTCATTTTTTTTTTTTTTGCATTTTTTAATTTTAACATTCAATAATGATAATAATATTTTCTTTTTTGAAATTTATATTTAATTTATATTTTTCTAATTTCAATTAATCAAAATTTTATTCTCTACCTTTTATTATACTTTTACTTTCAGTAAGACTTTCATTTTTTTTTTTTTTTGCATTTTTTGATTTTAACATTTAATAATGATAATAATATTTTCTTTTTTGAAATTTATATTTAATTTATTATTTTTCTAATTTCAATTAATCAAAATTTTATTTTCTACCTTTTATTATACTTTTACTTTCAGTAAGACTTTCATTTTTTTTTTTTGCATTTTTTGATTTTTAACATTTAATAATGATAATAATATTTTCCTAATTTTGTTTTTTTTTTTTAAAAAGTACATTATTCATTTGATTAATTTGTGATTTAATTAATTTGTTAAATTTACTATTTTTTTTTTTAGTAAATTATTTCCTGTAAAAATTCAATAAAATTTTGTTCAATTTTTTTTTAAGAATCGAAGTCAATGCCCAATATGTCGAATACAGATAAGTGCAAAAAATATGGTTGGCTTATTATCATTTCGAATTATAAAGGATAATTCAAATTTTAGAGCTTATTATGAGATGGGATTGCTAAAAATGGTTTCATTTTCTATTTTTTTAATATATTTCATTATGCAAAATAGATTATTTATAGTTTATCTTAAAACTATTTAAATATTTCAAAAGAAAAAAAAAGGTCAATCAGAGAGTTTTTAAAGAAATGTAATTTTAATTAATATTTAAATAATCCATTGAATTTATCAATTTTATTTTGTTTATATTTTTAAACTGAAATTTGTCACAATTATTATTATTTTAGATTCGTGATGCTATCAGATTTCGTCTTTATGAACCAGAATTACACGGTCTATATATATTTCGAAGAATTAAATTGGTATTAAATTAATTTTAATTGTGTAAATAACAGGAAAATAGAAGTTATTAGACATTTAGCTAATCACAGATAAGTTGATAATTTTAGAAAAAATTTTAGACCTTAAAAAATATGTAAATAAATTATAGTCATATATATAATAACAAATAGTTTGATAATTGAATTGAATTTATTAGCATAAATTAGTAATTTTTTTTTCTTTTTAATTGTAGAATATAAAAAAAAAAAATAGAAAAATTAAATGTGTAAACTTTAACATAGTATCCTGGAGCATATATATATATATGTTTGTTTAAGAAAAGATAAAAAAATACAAATGCAAATTAAAATTTTATTTAAGTTAAAAGTAATTAATGTATCTGATGAATTATGTTTAAAAAAAGAAAAAGAAAAATTTAAATATTTTAATAAATACACAAGTTTTTTTTGTTTTGTTCAAATTGAAATAATCATTCCTATCTTCCTTTTTTTTTGTTTTTTTTTTCTAATTTGGATTTATAATTAATTATTAATATGTAGCTTAATCTAAATTAATCGCAATTTTTTTTTTTTTAAATTTTATTTTTGATATAATTAATTTAATATAATTAAGGTTTGGCTTTTCGAAGAGATGAAAGAATTTGACTTAAAAATTGCAAACGAAGAAATGCAATGTGCAATTTGCTTAAAAATTCTTCAACTCAATGAAATTTCTGCATTACGTTGTGGTCATACATTTCATTATGAATGTATTTTACGAAAAATTCAAGTGAGTGATAAATTTGTAAATGTATTTTTTTAATTTAATAATCAAAATAGAAAAAAAAGGAAAAAGAAAAACTTAAACTTTAATTTAAACTAAGAAATTATTATAATATATAATAATAATAATCTGTGATAAATTTGTAAATGTATTTTTTTAATTTAATAATCAAAATAGAAAAAAAAAGAAGAAAGAAAAACTTAAACTTTAATTTAAACTAAGAAATTATTATAACATATAATAATAATAATCTGTGATAAATTTGTAAATGTATTTTTTTAATTTAATAATCAAAATAGAAAAAAAAAAAGAAAGAAAAACTTAAACTTTAATTTAAACTAAGAAATTATTATAACATATAATAATAATAATCTGTGATAAATTTGTAAATGTATTTTTAATTTAATAATCAAAATAGAAAAAAAAAAGAAAAGGAAAACTTAAACTTTAATTTAAACTAAGAAATTATTATAACATATAATAATAATCTGTGATAAATTTGTAAATGTATTTTTTTAATTTAATAATCAAAATAGAAAAAAAAGAAGAAAGAAAAACTTAAACTTTAATTTAAACTAAGAAATTATTATAACATATAATAATAATAATCTGTGATAATTTTTTTGCAGATTAAACATAAATGCCCGGTATGTGACGAAGTGGCAGGTGCAAATAGTATTATTCAACGTATATTTCTTGATATCCACGAGAAAAATGAGAAAAGTTCAAAAATGGAAGATACAAGTGAATTAGTAAATGAGGTAATTTCTTCTTCCTCAATAATATTTTATAAAATGAAATTTTCAAAAACAAAATGAAATTATTTGCTATCAAAAAATTTTGAATTTTTGTTTCAATAATAAATGAGGTAATTTCTTCTTCCTCAATAATTATTAAAAATTTTGAATTTTTGTTTCAATAATAAATGAGGTAATTTCTTCTTCCTCAATAATAATTTTATAATATTTCAAAAACAAAATGAAATTATTTGCTATCAAAAAATTTTGAATTTTTGTTTCAATAATAAATGAGGTAATTTCTTCTTCCTCAATAATTATTAAAAATTTTGAATTTTATTAATAATTATTAAAAATTTTGATTTTTATTTCAATAATGAATGTGGTAATTTCTTCTTCCTCAATAATAGTTTTATAATATTTCAAAAACAAAATGAAATTATTTGCTATCAAAAAATTTTGATTTTTTATTTCAATAATAATTTTCAACATAATTTAATGAATGATAGAACTTTTTTAATGAATGATGAATAATGTTAGCATAAAAATTGCACTTTACAAAAAAAAAAATTTATAAAAATTTGTTTAGTGTTTAAATTAATTTGTGTAAATTTTTGATTAAAACTTTAGCTTAATTGATAATTTTTATTAAAAAATAATTTTCAGATTAGAGGTAATCTGAGCAAAGTGGAAACAGAACTTGAACTTATTCATTTCCGTATGGAACACAGTTCGGCACTACTACGAGTACTGTCACATATGCTAAGCATTTGTGTCAAAGCTCTTCGAATGTGATAATTGTGATTTCAAAAAAAAAAAAAAAAATAATTTAAGAAACAAAAATATAATTTAGGATTGTATATATGTGTTTATTTTTTAAAAAAAAAAAAAAAAAAAAAAAAAAGAATTTCTGTATGTATTGTATTTATTAGGTAACGTAAGCTTTATCAAGTAAAATGTATATTTACCTGTTTACTTACCTAACAATTCTCTTTATTTACTTATCTAATTTTTTTTTCTCCTACAATTACTAATGTTTTCAAAAAAAAAAAAAAAAAGAATTTCTGTATGTATTGTATTTATTAGGTAACATAAGCTTTATCAAGTGAAATGTATATTTACCTGTTTACTTACCTAACAATTCTCTTTATTTACTTATCTAATTTTTTTTTTTCTCCTACAATTACTAATGTTTTCAATGAAAAAAAAAAAAAACGAGAAAGAGAATTTATATTCATCCTAAGAAGAAATTATTATATTTATTATATAAATTATATTATCCTAAAATATATTCATCCTAAAAAGAAATTATTATATTTATTATATAAATTATATTATCCTAAAATATATTATCCTAAAAAGAAATTATTATATTTATTATATAAATTATATTATCCTAAAATATATTCATCCTAAAAAGAAATTATTATATTTATTATAAATAAATTATCAAACAATTATAATTATATTCAAAAATGAGACTTTAAAATTTTAGTAGCAATTCAATCCCAACAAAGAAGTTTTAATTTTTTTTTTTGTTTCTTTCAATATTACCATCAATTGAATGAATTTTGCTATTTATTTATATTGTTTTAGGATGAAAATTTGCTTATTGTATAATTAGCTAAAATAAATTTTTTGAAAAAAAAATTTTTTTTTTTTCAAAGTTAGTTTTTTTGGAATAAATCAAATTTCATAAATGAAAAAATACTAGAAAAAAAAAAGATGAAATGAAAATATCTTCGCTTTATTAATTAAATGAAAGTGTCATCAAAAAACAAATTATAGTAGCAGACTTACTTCTTACTTCCGACGTGTAACGTGTCCTATTATTAGCACTTTATGACGTATAACGTGTCTTATTATTAGCACTTTATGACGTATAACGTGTCCTATTATTAGCACTTTATGACGTATAACGTGTCTTATTATTAGCACTTTATGACGTATAACGTGTCCTATTATTAGCACTTTATGACGTATAATGTGTCCTATTATTAGCACTTTATGACGTATAGCGTGTCCTATTATTAGCACTTTATGACGTATAACGTGTACTATTATTTAACACTTTAATGCAACAACAGACGTGCGCTAGACGTATAACGTGTCCTATTATTAGCACTTTATGACGTATAACGTGTCCTATTATTAGCACTTTATGACGTATAACGTGTCCTATTATTAGCACTTTATGACGTATAACGTGTACTATTATTTAACACTTTAATGGCGTATAACGTGTCCTATTATTAGCACTTTATGACGTATAACGTGTGCTTTAATGGCAACAACAGACGTGCGCTACGGGTCAATTGCCTAATTAACCGGAATGATCGCAGCGTTTAATTTCTTTTATTAAATTTTAATGAAATAGAAAATTTATTTTGTTTTGAATGAATACTAATTCATAATTTCACTATTGAACAGGCAATCATGAACTGTTTTTGAATCGATTAATAAAGGTATTATTTCCGGTTTTCATAGACAAATTCGGAAAGGAATATCTTCAAACAGAGAAAACAGCAAGGAAAAAAAGCATAGAGTTAAAATGGATAATACTTTCCGAAAAAAAAAATGTAATTTCACTATTAAACAGGTAATCATGAACTGTTTTTGAATCGATTAATAAAGGTATTATTTCCGGTTTTCATAGGCAAATTCGGAAAGGAATATCTTCAAACAGAGAAAACGGCAAAGAAAAAAGCATAAAATTAAAATGGATAATACTTTCCGAAAAAAAAAGAACAAACTATAAAATAAATTTGCTTAAAGGACAATAGCAACAATTCCAAAAATTTTCAAAAGAAAAAAAAAAAGTGCAAATGAAAAAGTGAAATTATTTAGAAATTAAATTCAAAGACCATTTCAAAAAAAAAAAAAAATCATTTAAAATCAAAAAAAAATGACAATAAAAGTCGAAAAATCCCATTAACAATCATTGATTTTGTAAAATCGGAAAATACGCCATTTTTCTTGGTATGACAAAAGAGCAACCATCAGGTTTTTTTTGACATACAATCAGGAAATTTTCTGGATTTCTTATCAATAAATCAGAAATTCTACTTACCAAAATAAATCTTAAGCGAATTTCAATGCTATTTTAAAAAATATATATATGAAAATATGTAAAAAAACATTACAAAATATTAACAAAAATAAAATCAAATACAGTTAACTTACTTTTTACTCATTAAAAATAAAAGTAAAAGTAACGATGGAAGAAAAGTATTACAACAAGAATTTTCAATAAAATTTTTAAAATGTTATTTATCACTTTTTCTTCTTTTTTTAAAGCAAAAGGAAAGATTGAAATTAAATTAAAATATATTCTTCTAGAAACATAACTATAATTTCATTCAAAGTAATAAATTTTGATTTAAAAAAAAAAAAAAAAAAACGAAAAGAAAATTATTATTTTTGTTTTTTTTTAAAATTAATTTTTTTCATAAAAATTAAATAATAAAATTAAATGTGATCAAAAAAGCAAAGTATTTTTTTGTATTAAATTTCATAAAAAAAAAAAAAAAAATAATATAAAAAATAAAACTTAGATAGGTCAGAGATCAATAATAATAAAATTTTTCAACTTTTTTTTTTTCAAATTTCTACTATTATTTCAAATATTAGCTCTTCTCATCGGTTGCTAATGCAATGAAAATTATTTTTTTTTTGTTTTCTACTTTTTATTTTGTTTATTTGTTTATTTGTTTGTTTGTTTGTTTCCCTTTAAATTATAAGTTAAACAAATATTAAATAATTTAAAATAAATTTAATCAATTAAATTTCTAGCATATTTCAGGATAGATTTTATGAGTGCGAAATATTTAATACACAAAATTTTGTATCAAATTAATAACCAGGTGCTGTTCGTGGTTGTGGACAATGATCACAGCTACCGGTTGTACCATATGTACCAGCTGGACCTAAACTACCAGGTATTCCAGGTTTACCAGGTGTACCATCTTTGCCAGCATTTCCACGCTGTCCAGGTGGACCTATTCTACCTGGTGCACCTGGAAAACCTCGAAAACCTGGTCTTCCAGGTAAACCAGGTTGACCTACGAAACCTGGTGGTCCTCTTGGTTGCTCCTTTACGATTACTCGACCTGGTATTCCTGGTGGTCCTTTGATTCCTGAAATGAAATTACCAAAGTTTTCTTCGTTTAGTGCTAACGCTTTTATAATAATCACTTACCAGGTACTCCAGGTGTACCAGGTGGTCCAATCAAACCTGGTGGTCCTGGTGGTCCTCGTCGTCCACCTTCAGCTGGAAATCCAGCTTGTCCTGGTCTTCCAGGTGGTCCTTTAGGTCCCGGTTTACCAGCTGCACCTGGTGGACCATCTTCACAATCAAAACACCATTCCTAAAATTATGTAAATATTAGCAATAATCTCGAATTGAATTTAAAAATTTAAAAAATATTTTAATCTTACTAGCGGTATATTATGAGGTTCAATAATAGCAGCATCTGGGGCGTCTTTTCCTGGTTCTCCTCTCTTACCATCTGCGCCATCTTTACCATCTAAACCTGGTGGTCCAGGTAGTCCAGGTGGAGAAATTCCACATCCGCAACATGCCATGTTAGCTTCATACTTATTTTGTTTACGTAACACGTCATTTACGTCAAAATTTGCTACACCTGATCGTTTTAATCGTAATGTTCCAATTAACTTTGCATGGTACTAAATTAATAAAAATTAAAAAATTAATCAAAAAAATTAATCAATAATAAATTTTAAACAATTAATCAAAAATTAAATGAATAAAAAAAAAATTAAAAAATAATTAATCAATGTTGGAAAAATTAAAAAAAATCTTTTTTAAACACTCATAAATAATTAATTCAAATATACTCAAACAAATACATAAATTATTTTTATTATTTCATTTTCAATTAAAAAAAAATTCATTTCAATTAAAATTTTCTTAGCATAATTAATTAACCAAAATAACACATTTACGATTTTTTTTTTCCATTTCTAATTATAACAAAAGATTTATTTTTTTTAAAAAAAATGAGAAAAACAATATTTAATATTTCAAACAATAAAAATTTATTATAAAATTTTGCATTTGAATTATTTAATGAATGTTATCAATGACTAACTAATTTATAAGTATATTTAATATTTTTTTTATTTTGATAAAATGATAAAATTGATAAATTGATAAGAAAAAAATCAAAGATTGAAATTTTATTACAAAATTTTGCATTTGAACTATTTAATGAATGTTATCAGTGACTAACTAATTGATAAGTATATTTAATATTTTTTTTATTTTGATAAAATGATAAAATTGATAAGAAGCAAAAATCAAAGATTAAAAATTTATTACAAAATTTTGCATTTGAATTATTTAATGAATGTTATCAATAACTAACTAATTTATAAGTATATTTAATATTTTTTTTATTTTGATAAAATGATAAAATTGATAAATTGATAAGAAGAAAAAATCAAAGATTAAAAATTTATTACAAAGTTTTGCATTTGAATTATTTAACAAATGTTATCAATGACTAACTAATTTATAAGTATATCTAATAATTTCTATCTTGATAAAATGATAAAATTGATAAGAAGCAAAAATCAAAGATTAAAAATTTATTACAAAATTTTGCATTTGAGCTATTTGATGAATGTTATCAATGACTAAATAATTGATAAGTATATTTAATATTTTTTTTATTTTGATAAAATGATAAAATTGATAAGAAGCAAAAATCAAAGATTAAAAATTTATTACAAAATTTTGCATTTGAATTATTTAATGAATGTTATCAATGACT